TTTTTTTTTTTTTTTTTTTTCAATTTTCAATACAGGTGGCATTAGATAGAGCCAGGTTGTATTCCAGGAAAATGCCAAGTGAATTCTTAAGTAAGCTTTTTTTATAAAGCATTAGGCTATATTATTGACAGCATGCAGGTTATAAATTGACTCACAATTATGTGATTTTATTTTTAATGTTACACCCCTCCTAGTACTAAATGATCTAGTGTTAGCTCTGAGGCTGCCAAGTCTAAAACTAAAACTTATCCAAGAACACCCCTGCAGCTGTAATGATGAACAGCTAGTTGTACTAGGAATGAGCTATGCACTAAGTACATATCAACAGTATTTTGTTTGTTTTGGTTGTTTTTTAGTATACCTTGGCTGCTGATGACTCTCTGTTTTGCCAAAAGATGGCAGCACACTATGGCTGATGAAATAGGAGAATGAACAGTATCTACATATTATGTCTGGAATTTATATACACCATGAAGGAATTTCCTAAAGATTTTATCCTGCAACCTGAATTTCTTCATGGTGCTGACTCTCCTTTCTTAGAACCCCATTTGTTAACAGAGACAAAGGCTTTATATCTGTGGGCACTTTTCTTGGAAATCCAATTTCCATATAGTGTACTCATAGGATGCATTGTAGGAAGATATTGATTTTGTCTATTTTTATCTATATGAATATGTGGTACTAAGACTGCTGTTGTATTTTGGTACATATACACAATATACTGCAACAGCAGGGCATAATATTATTATATCACTTTGAGTTGGCATAGACAGGTATGTACAACACTTCTACTCTCTACTATGTAATCAGCAGACTTGTGCATCAGTTATGGTTCAAGTTTGATAGCAACACATTTTGGATTATTTTCTTAGCCTAAATTCTGTTCTTTTATATACATTTATTCTTAGTACAGTCACTTGCATTTGTAACTGCTGATATCCTGGATAGTTGATTAATATTTTGATTGGGATTTCTTAGGGAAGAAGTGACAAGTGAAATAGGATTTAATGTGCATTTGTTGAATCATACCAGTTACAGTATTTTTGATATAATTAATGTATGCAGGAAAGACAAATGGAAGTAAAAAGAAGTTATATGTCTAGACACTTCTATTGAGAATTCTTGGTCTAGGTAAAATGTGATTACTACCAGAAATTCTTTAAAACGAAGTGAAAGGAAATATTGTTGGAGTTGCTGTGACCTTTGCCACTGTTCCTATGCCAGACTGTGCATGCTTGGCATTTGGCTCACTAGACATTTCATTAGTAGGAAGAGAGGAAAACCTATCAAAGGGTATATAGTAAGTTTATTTCAGTTCAGCGTCTCAAAGGAATTTCTGGTAGTTGAAAAAAAAAATAACACAGTGGAGCATTTTTTTTTTTTTTTTTTGGTGAACTTTTGATCTATAGCATATGGCACTAAATATATATTTCATTAAAGTGCATAGGAAAAAGTCAAATATTACTTAGATACTATATACGTGTCAACATTGGACTCGACAACAATGATATCAGGTGGACTTTTTATATAGGTATTCAGTTTTGAATGTAGCTTTATTTCAGGTTATGTATTTATTATTGTTATTTTATTGATTAATTGATTGGTGATTGGAGAGAAAAACTATTAGGTTCCAATTTATCCAAAACATTTTAAATTGTACTCTTGCAACTGAGCTTGAGTTTCGGATGTTTAATGAAGTCTGAAATTTGAACCAACTTTCCTCAATCAAGATTTTTTTTCTTTTTTTTTTTTTTTAGTTAGTGCACTAAGAATAATTGGCTTTTATTAGATTCTCTTAATGGTTTAAACCTTTCTCGTATTTCAGAACTACACGAATGAGAGGAGGACAAGTGGATAAAGCATTATATGTAAGTAAACTGTGTGATAGTCATTTTGAGATGATCATTCATTAAAAAATACCTTTTATTTTTTTATTGCCCAGAAATTCTAAAGAAAGTTTCTGTAAAGTAAATGGTTGGCAAAAAGTCATGCCTGAAAATAACTTGCGCTAGTTATGCTAACTGACATAGTCAGAATAATTAACCTTAACATAACTTGGTCCAAAAACATAATTCTAATAAGTTTGATATTCCGTCTCTACAAGCCATTATGGAAGAATACCAAGGTGTGCACTTGAGATGTGAAAAATAGCAACATAAATAACAACACTGTTTTCTGCTAAGATTATCCAAACATTTGGCAATGGTGTTTAGGAGGAATAGCTAAGAGGGATTTCTGAATCTTGTTAATTATGTAGATGCTATGGGTTAAATTTTTTTAGTGGAGCTTAGAAGTGAATTTTGAATGTTTTTTTTAAATTTCATTTATTGATGTCATCATGTTCACTGAGCAGATCATCTGTTGAAAATGTATATTATTAGTAATATTATACTTGGATTTGCGTGCAGTTGAATACTTATAGAGATCTAAGGGAGTGAATGGTTCCTTTTACCTTTTAGCATTGCACATATACAGGGAATTAAAATGCATATCCTACAGTATGAAAGTGAACTTTCTAAGAAGGTACAGTGTTAGCTGTATGATAAGTTAAGTGAACTAATAAACAAACCAGGCCTTACAGGTGCTTCAGATATTGGGGAAGAAGAGAATGATGTTTGTTTAGTCATGGCATGTTATGTGTTTCAGACTGAAGGGGTATATGGAAATGCCCGGTTCACACATGCAGTAACATCTTTAGTGGTAAGTAAACAAAACTTTTCATTTGTTAGCTGTCAGGGGTAGTCTGCAAATAAAATGTTCTATCAAATTTTGAATTAAGAGGATGTTTATTCAGGACTGAATGTTAAAATTTGGTTTGTTTTATATGAAGAACTGTCACAAACTATTTTTCCCACAGACAACCTAACTGCCTTCTTTTTTGTTGCAGGGCTGCAATGTTGAAGTTATAGTTAAGAATGGTGGGAAATATGAAGGAGTTATGAGAACTTTTTCTCCAAAGGTAAGAAAAGACCTTCTAAAAAACAGTGCATGAGAACTTTATATGCTGGAAATGTAACTTTCTTAAGTATTGATAACAAGTTTGTTTTGGGAATGATGTACTTGTTACCTCATGTCACCTAGATACCCAAATGTCTTGTACAGTGATAATTTGGTAGTATTTCTTCAATAAAAATTTTACATTCTTATCAATAGAATATAGTTTAGTCCAGTTAAGAGTTTTATTTATTTAATTATTTTTTTTCCAGATGGAGATTGTTCTGGAGTGTGTGCACAAAATAGATGACACAGTCAATAACATGGTGAACACCACCCCTTCCAAAGACCAGATCATAGACAAAGTGGTCTTTAAAACACAAGATATTCTCATGCTCACGGCATTAAATGTAGACATGGAGTATGCATATAAAGGTAGGACATGAAAAAGGTAGAAGCAGATAACCTGTGGCAAGGAGGGAAAACAGAATGTGTGTGGCAAAATGTGCATATTGAATATTTATAATCAAAAAAGTTTCATGGTGAAATATGATATGGTTAAATGTAGGCGGGGTTCTGAGACTGAATAGAGAAAGTTAAATGATGCCAGCATATAATGATTTCAAGATATTGCTCAATGAAGTAAGCTCCATGTTGTAGTATATGTTGCACCTTAATGGGCACATTGAATGTGTTTATATCATTGCAGTTCAGTTATATTTGCTCATTTTGCTCTTGCAGATTCATTTACGGACTCTGCTATAAGCAAGTTCAATGGTCAGGTGGGGGAGAAAGAACTAGAACCATGGGAGGCAGAGGGACCCCTCTGTGAGCTAGGAGCACTGGAAGGAGATTCAGCTGTAAGAATAGGGACATTTTTTTCAGCATTTCTTCATTATTCTTGTCTTACCTTTTGGAAATTCTTATTTGAAAAAAAAAAGTCTGAGGATAAATTAAGCTATGGCAACCTTACATCAAAGGCATATGGAGGCAGCTGTGTAGCAGGACAAAGTGGGTTTTGCAATTGATTAGCATAATATGACATTAAGTGCCTTGTTGAAAATATTAAAGTGACCTATATAACAATTTTTAATCTAGTTTTTGGAAGAAAACTTAAAATAGAGTCGGATTTGGGTATTGAGGGGAACATAATGGAAAGAATGAACAAATTTGGCTGAATGGGAATACCTGTCTAGTAATGTGGTGCCAGTAATCTCTCTTGTGTTATAGTGGATGAGTTTTGAATTACTTGTATTTCAGGATAAGTGTGTTAGGAAGTTTTGCAAGTCTTAAATGAATTTAAAATGGGATTTTTTTTTTTGTTTTCAGAATGGTTGGGATGCCAACGATATGTTCAGAACAAATGCAGAAGTTTTTAATGTGAAAACATCGTATGATGATTCATTAACTCAATATACGTAAGTTAATTGTGTTTGAAAAGTCTAGTGAAAACAATTTAACATATAGATATCAGGCTGGATGTTGACTTTTTCATTAAATATTCAAAGAAAAAAAAATGCAGAAAATAATTAATTTATTAGATCTTCAAAGAAAAAAATGAAAATATGAGTGAGCGTGGTATATTTAAACAGATGTTACGTTCTCTTTTCCATGGAATGTCTGTTAAGCCTTGAAATTTTTTTACAGAACTCCATTAGAGCGTAAAAATACACCAGAATTCCGCCAAAGACAGGCTGAGGCAGCCAGACTAGCAGCAGAGATAGAATCTAGTGATCAGTACAAAGCACATATAGCATTAGAAGACACAGGGAGTGATGAGGAGGATAAATTCAGTGCAGTAGTCAGGCCAGGGGAGTCCAACCACTCTGGCAGCAAGTGAGTTTTAATTATAACAGGAGCTCACTGTTTACTACTAGGAAGCAATTTAAATCTATTTGAGCTTGTGTCCAAATAACAGATAAATTAAACTCATTGTACAATATACATAATACTCATTATACCCAAATACCAGAATGGACAATTGATTTATTAAGACAGTAAGTAAAATAATGACTTCTAAATAATAATCAAAAAGAAGGTGTTTTCAAATAATTTAACCAGGTACTATTCAAAAGGCAAAATTTTAGGTCTTTCAGATATGTGCCACCTCATAGGCGAAGTGGTCCCCAGACTCGCGGCAATCGTGGAGGACCTTCTCCAACACAAGTTGCTACACAACAGAAACCTTCTACTCCCACAGAGGAGACACAGCCAAAAATGAATGGAGGTAAAAATTCTAAGAAAAACCATCAGTCAGAAGTTGTGAAAGAAGAATAATTATTATAACATGATGTAGCTTACCTAACTAAACCAGCTAAATTCTAGTTTATATTTGATGAAATATTTTTAAAAATAAGGACTGTAAGTTGTGCATATAATTTTTAAGTCATTTATCAAATACATTTCCTTTGAAATAGAAAAAGAAGAAAAGAAAACAGAAGTAGATACAGTTAGTAAAACAAATAATACAGAAGTAAGTCCACAGCTCCCAGTAGAAGAGACCTCTCCAGGGGGCACCACCAGTCTGCCAGCACCACTGCCACAGAGTGAGAAGAGTGCAGTGAAGATGGACAGGAGGACTAATCCGACTAATCAAAAAGGTGTGATGTTTGCATATGCTTATAGCACTACTGGAATGAAAGTTGTTTTCACATTTTTTTTTTCTGTTTTTTGGTCCATTATTGGGCAAATGGTTTTTATGTGTTTAAAAGAATTAATGAATATCTTAACCAACTTATATCACTTGTTTCTTGCAGGTTAGTCTTTGTTTTACCAAATTGTATTTTTATTTTCAGCTCGGCAAGACCAGATAAAAGAACTTAAAGAATTTAGTACAAATTTCAAAGTAAGTTTTATAAAATCCAGCTTACAGGTTTAATGTCCTTTTGTTGTTCACTCAGACTAAGAATGCATATTCTTAATGTCAAATTCAACTCTTCTAGTCCAGTTGTGACTGCCTAACTTAATACCATGCAATATTAGCAAACATCTCCATTGCTGGGGACTTCACCCTATTACAATGGTTGGGGGAATAGAGGATTAGATTATTTCCCTGTGATGCAATAGAGGATTAGATTATTACCCTGTGGGGCCATTGAGGATTAGATATTACCCTGTGATGGGCTAATCATAACCTCAATATTTTTGGAATAGCACACACAGTCAAGAGATCAAAACTGAACTGTAAGTATGTTTCTATAGAAAAATGATTCTTTTTTTCTGCCACACTGTAATTATGTTTTGTTTTTTGCTAGTTATCAGACAAAGACCATTCTAAGGAAGAAACAGGACAGCAGGCATCACCTGAGAAAGATAAGTCATCAGAAACATCAAAGGCTGCTCCTTCAGATGACAAAAAGTCAGAAACAGCAACACCAGAAAATAAAGATGAGTAAGTAGGAATTGGGTTTGTTTTTATTTTTATTTATTTATTTATTTATTATTTTTTAATTCNTTTTTGTTTTCAGAATGGTTGGGATGCCAACGATATGTTCAGAACAAATGCAGAAGTTTTTAATGTGAAAACATCGTATGATGATTCATTAACTCAATATACGTAAGTTAATTGTGTTTGAAAAGTCTAGTGAAAACAATTTAACATATAGATATCAGGCTGGATGTTGACTTTTTCATTAAATATTTAAAGAAAAAAAATGCAGAAAATAATTAATTCATCAGATCTTCAAAGAAAAAAATGAAAATATGAGTGAGCGTGGTATATTTAAACAGATGTTCGTTCTCTTTTCCATGGAATGTCTGTTAAGCCTTGAAATTCTTTTACAGAACTCCATTAGAGCGTAAAAATACACCAGAATTCCGCCAAAGACAGGCTGAGGCCGCCAGACTAGCAGCAGAGATAGAATCTAGTGATCAGTACAAAGCACATATAGCATTAGAAGATACAGGGAGTGATGAAGAGGATAAATTCAGTGCAGTAGTCAGGCCAGGGGAGTCCAACCACTCTGGCAGCAAGTGAGTTTTAATTAAACTCATTGTACAATACACATAATACTCATTATACACAAATACCAGAATGGACAATTGATTTATTAAGACAGTAAGTAAGATAATGACTTCTAAATAATAATCAAAAAGGTGTTTTCAAATAATTTAACCAGGTACTATTCAAAAGGCAAAATTTTAGGTCTTTCAGATATGTGCCACCTCATAGGCGAAGTGGTCCCCAGACTCGCGGCAATCGTGGAGGACCTTCTCCAACACAGGTTGCTACACAACAGCAACAACAACAGAAACCCTCTACTCCCACAGAGGAGACACAGCCAAAAATGAATGGAGGTAAAAATTCTTAGAAAAACCATCAGTCAAAAGTCATGAAAGAAGAATAATTATTATAACATGATGTAGCTTACCTAACTAAACCAGCTAAATTCTAGTTTATATTTGATGAAATATTTTAAAAAGATAAGGACTGTAAGTTGTGCATATAATTTTTAAGTCATTTATCAAATACATTTCCTTTGAAATAGAAAAAGAAGAAAAGAAAACAGAAGTAGATACAGTTAGTAAAACAAATAATACAGAAGTAAGTCCACAGCTCCCAGTAGAAGAGACCTCTCCAGGGGGCACCACCAGTCTGCCAGCACCACTGCCACAGAGTGAGAAGAGTGCAGTGAAGATGGACAGGAGGACTAATCCGACTAATCAAAAAGGTGTGATGTTTGCATATGCTTATAGCACTACTGGAATGAAAGTTGTTTTCACATTTTTTTTTTTCTGTTTTTTGGTCCATTATTGGGCAAATGGTTTTTATGTGTTTAAAAGAATTAATGAATATCTTAACCAACTTATATCACTTGTTTCTTGCAGGTTAGTCTTTGTTTTACCAAATTGTATTTTTATTTTCAGCTCGGCAAGACCAGATAAAAGAACTTAAAGAATTTAGTACAAATTTCAAAGTAAGTTTAATTAAATCCAGCTTACAGGTTAAATGTCCTTTTGTTGTTCACTCGGACTAAGAATGCATATTCTTAATATCAAATTCAATTTTTCTAGTCCAGTTGTGACTGCCTAACTTCATACCATGCAATATTAGCAAACATCTCTATTGCTGGGGACTTCACCCTATTACAATGGTTGGGGGAATAGAGGATTAGATTATTACCCTGTGGGGCCATTGAGGATTAGATTGTTACCCTGTGATGAGCTAATCATAACCTCAATATTTTTGGAATAGCACACACAGTCAAGAGATCAAAACTGAACTGTAAGTATGTTTCTATAGAAAAATGATTCTTTTTTTCTGCCACACTGTAATTATGTTTTATGTCTTTTGCTAGTTATCAGACAAAGACCATTCTAAGGAAGAAACAGGACAGCAGGCATCACCTGAGAAAGATAAGTCATCAGAAACGTCAAAGGCTGCTCCTTCAGATGACAAAAAGTCAGAAACAGCAACACCAGAAAATAAAGATGAGTAAGTAGGAATTGGGTGTGTTTTTATTTTTATTTATTTATTTATTATTTTTTTAAGTCATTTAATTTTGGTACAGAATGATTGTTTTACCCTTTAAAACAATATAAATAATATTGTCTAATGTTTGTATGCAACTGTTAAGTGTTATTGGATAAGCATTCACAATGTATGAACGTGTTTCTTTTTTAGCACTGTGAAAAAGTCAACATTGAATCCCAATGCTAAGGAATTTGTTTTTAATCCAAATGCAAAGCCCTTTCAACCTGTAAGTAGAATTTTATTTCTTTTATTTTCAGTATTGAAAAATTTTCAAAAGGAAAATTATAAGATGTGTGTTCCATGTTTACAACTACACTATGTTATCTAAATTTAAAAAAAAAAAGAAGGAAACCTGAAACTTCAGCAATGTCTTCTTTCCAGAAGCAAGCCCCTACACCCCCTAGGCCAAATTCTCAAAGTCCACTGATCCAGACCCCAGTGTTTCAACAGCCAATGTACCAGCAGTTTATGCCTGCCAATGTTGCCATGTCTCAAATGGGAATGGCTGGCATGCCACAGCAACCCATGCTGCAACCTGGACAACAGCAGAGATTTGTGAAAAGAGGTGAGGAGAAGAACATGTAGTTCCACACAAAAATCAGTTTGTTATATTTTTTTTTAGATGGATGTAGAATTATGATGCATTTGCATGCTGATCAAATGTCTTTGACTTTCACATTTTAACTACCATGGCACTATTTGAGGAAAAGTGTCCCTGGCATAGAATATTGATTTCTTAATTAACTTTACAGAAAACTTTTTTTGCCAGAGGCCATACCATGAATATGATATTGAGATATTCCGCTTTACTATGAAAAATGATTTTTGATTTATCGAAAAATGTGAGATGGTGATCATTTTGCTTTCATATTTGTTCTATGTGCTTTCAGCTGAAGTGTCAGTCAATCCAAGACCCAACTTTAGCTCTCAGGCTGCTGCAGCTAATGCTGTCACTGGTCAGCCACTTATGGCTCAGCCTGGACCTAATCAGGCTACACAGTTCTTACCTGCAGGAGTGTACCCTGTACAACCAATGGTTCATCAAGGAATGGTCAACCCATATCCTCAACAGGTTTGATATGCTTAATTATTTTCTGTTCTTAAGAAGATTTGTTTATTGATTTTAATCTCAGTGTTCTCTAAAGAAGGTCTTATGTACTTCTGATTACATTAAAAGATTAATGTATTTCTATTTTTTCACTTACAAGACCCCCTGCCCTTTGTTCTTGTTGATTGGTAGGAGTGGTCAGAATACTTGTGTTTCCCATATACTTTAGTCTGTGTTCATATGAAACATAAATACAACTGCTATACTTGCTTCACCAGTGACATCTGTATTCGTTTCTGTGTTGCAGGTAATAAGTATGAGTAACCACAATACTGGTGCCACACCTGTGATGTCAACACAACAGCTTAATATGGTGCCAAACTCTCAAGGGCAGACAGAGCATGGAGCCCAATTACTAGGTAAGACGGATAGAAAATGTGATGGAACAGATAGGTGCATATGAGAATTTCATGTGTTTATGATGAGTATGATATTGATGTTAACTGATAAAGTATTGACTGTCATAGTGTTTGGATGATGTCACATGAAGAGGAATGTGATATAGACAGTTCTGTAGCAGGACCAGTTGGGAATTTTTTTAAATGCTTATAGTTATTAGTTTTATGTAGTCGCAGCAAATAATTTCAAATCAATACAAAATTTCACTATCTTTTATTTTCTTCTACCAAAGTCAACTAATTCTAGCTGTCTGTGAAATGATTACATACACCACAAAAAAGATTGTGTCTATTAAAGTGTAATTCAGCATGCAGTTTGGTTATATTTATAATTGTTTCTATTCCAGTCCAACATCCAGGAGCTTCAGCTGTGCCTGCACACATGGCCGCCCACCACCATGGGGGCCATCCTCACCCACAGCCTGCCCACATGGCCCCACACCATCAAGGGACGCCTCCACACACAGCAGGCGGAGGTGGAGGACAGATGACACATCAACCAGGGCACCCAACTCCTAGCCCTGTCCAAGCTGGAGGCCCCCAACAGATGCACCCTCAGCATCCCCCACCCTCAGGCACACCACAGCATGTTATATTCCCGGCGGGCCCACAGGCGGGACAACAGGGGCAACCAGTTCATCCAAACACACCCACTTCACCTCAGCCAATGCACCAAGTCTCCTTCCCATATAGTTACTCCACAACCATGAATATCCCAAACAATGGCTCCTTCATGACAATAGCTCACAGCCAGCAATCTTCTACCAACACAGTACATCACCAACAACACAATCACCCCAGTGGCCAGCCACAGCCTCAGATAGTGATGATGCCTCAGCCTCAGCACCAGGGCCAGTTTGGGGCGGCCACGGGGCAACATCCACAGCTGACCGGGAACCCTCAGTTCCAGACACCTCATATGCAAGGTATTAGCCGCACAGTTCTGATTCCTTCAGCTTATGGAACAACACCAGGTAAACAGGGGCTGGAAACAGGAGCTCAGATATAGGAATGCTTGTCTAGAATTTTTTTTCGCCATTTTCATAAAAAATGAAGACCCATGACTTGAAGTGCTTCGATTGGGCATGCTTGCATGGCAAGAAGGAAATATTGCCAAATGTTTCTTAATGCCTGGGTTAAAATGTGTCATTTATATTTTTAAGTTGAGAAAATGCATTTTAAAATTAGTTACTTTTAAAAATCTTTCTGGAAGCAATATTTTTGGACCATAAAATGCTTTATGTTAGCCTATTGTGATGATCATAGGAATGACATTCAGTGTGCCTGCAAGTGCATGAATAAACTCCCTAGCTCCTGATTATGTTGCTGCCGAGATATGTAAAGTGCATGAGATGTTACTGGAACTAACTGCATGGAGACCAGTTTTGAAGACTGAATTGGCAGCTATAAAGCAACCTCTTAGCCCTTGATTGCCTGGTGTGATTCCATAAAAAGCAGCTGATTTGTTTATTGTTTTGTTTTTGATTTGTTTTTAATTTTAACAAGGTAAGAACATTATTCTTTTAGCTATTGGTGTGAAGCCAAAGTGAGTGCTAGGCTTTAACAGTTTGATTTTTAAGAACCAACAGTAACTTATCTCATGGCATGTAGATTTTGACAATTTATTCTATCTAAAGCATGTATATCCCTCAGCTAGCTTTTATATAATTTCTAAATTTTAGAGGAGGAAGTTTGTAATTATTGTTATTATGTATTATAAATTATGTTCAAAAATTAATTTCAAAGCAGTGTATGCAACATATTTTTATTGAAAAACTTTTATCCATCTAAATCTGCAGTTTGACAACCATATTTTTTAAAACAACTCCTGCAAAAGATTTTTTACGATTTCATATGATTTGCATAGAATTTGTTTATTCAGTTTCAGGGCCAGGTCCGATGCATCAGGTGCACCCTATGGTCCCTCATTCTGTTAACATGGCTCCCAGTGGAATACACATGCAATATCATGTGCCTCATCAAGGTAAACACAGCTACACACACACACCTGCAATATTCACCTGGGCTATACTGGACTCACACTGACATTTTTCCTACTTCGTTAAAAATTATTGTCAACTGTTTTCTAGACTGTCATGAAATGAAATAAGTTGACAGCTGAGTAATCAAAAATAACCTCTTACGTTTATTGTAAAGACACTGCACTGGCACAATTTAAAAAAAATGGCCACTAGGAATTTCCAAAAATCATTTCTCACACGTTCAAGTTCTAAACAAAGGAAAATTTGGAAGCAAGTCCAGAGATGTACATTACATATACAGCTACATGTTATCAGGCAAAGGGAATTTCAAATCACTTTTATTCTACAGTAGATCTACTAGCCATGGTGTAGTAGACTATGTTGAATTGAATGAAGTTGGTTGGAAATTTAACCCTGCTGTTTCTGTATATTTAGTGCCATCACAGGGTCCTCAACCTTCAGTCCAGTTCCCTCAGCATCAGTGAACATAACTGGTACGTGGCTAGATGTTAGTGCACGTCACACTGTTACCATTGGAACTTATTCATGCACATTAATTTGGGCGAGGGGAAGTTTTCTTGGGAGCGTGTCTCTTTTCATGTGTTGAATTCTTAAAATTTTATTTATTTGTTTATTTTATTTATTTATTTATTTGTTTTTTTTATATGTCACTATTTAAATTTGAGAAGTTTCATATTATCGATTTATTTATAACAATGGTACTCATAGACCAGTGATTGATGTGTTGTCATACGGTGAAAAGGTTTTGTATTAACTCAGTGAAGACTTAATGCAAGTTATTTATTTAATGCTTTGTGATGGACCCAGTAAGAATTAATATAGATTTTGTACTTTTGGTAACTGTCTTAAACCAAGTTTTCTTTGGTGCAGAAGGAGCACCATAAATGAATATATATTATCAAAAATCATTTTTTTTAGGTAAAGAAAGAAGATTCTACCCTAAAGAAGTACTCGTTAGTTCAAGACCAGGAAATTGAGCTAAACTGCTGTTGCTGCTGCTGTTATTGTTGTTGTTATAAAAAAAATCAAGAATCCAAGAAATACAAGTTTCAAATAGAATAATTGATCATGATTTCAGTGAAGAAGATCTTGAGGCTTTTCACTGAATTAAAAGGATTAAGTCAGTCAAGTCAGTGTTGAGGATAAATAAAGATATCCCTTCCAAAGAATTCATATTAAAAATAATTTTAAGTAAATGGAAGAGAAGATGACCCGAGAGTTTTAGATGTTGGTTATGTTGGAAAGGGGGGCAGAAAAGAATTTTACCTAAAACTGTTCAGTGTGAAGTTGCACCTAGATGCCAAAGGATCTGGAGAGAGGATGTTACAAGAGTTGGATCTATTGGCATTTCATGACGTGGAGTTGTTGAATACAGGGTCAGGAAATTGCCCCCAGGAAGATTTTGTACACCCAGAAAAGATGAATAAAATACAGATAAAAAACTCATTGATGAGTCATATAAATTTTATGTTGATGTTTATTAATAGACTTTGGTGAACTATAGGAAGACTTTCAACACTAGATGAGGTAATTCAAATCTGTTAAGATTGTATGCAAACAATATTTAGCTGGTCATGTAGTCTTCTAGAATCTGAATCTTGAGCCATGCCTTGAACTTTGTTGATAATCTTATCAGTATTTTCAATGGCATGTGATCACTAAACACTCATTCCGGAGTGATGGAAGATTCTGTTGTGATTAGTGGGACTAAAGCAGTCTTCGCATAACTCTGGTACTGGGGACAGAAACTTATTTGAGAAATGAGTTGGGAAATGTTCACAAGATTCAGTTGATGCCATATAAACGAGATCATCTTTATGTCGAGTAATGCGAAGTCTACCGTGGCGCAAAAAGAAAACGCCGTTAGGATAAAATGTTTTTTAAAAAGGCAACTTTTATTAACATCACTCGCGGACAAACAAAATGAGTTGTCTTTGTGACTACACTCTTCTGAAGTCGCAGGCAGGAAAGAAGTGTGACATAAAAAGCAATGTTGTAGCCAATCTAGCTGCTTAGAAAAAAATACTATCAGACAAAATTCATGCGATTACCCACGTATGATAAAGTATGGTCATAGTCTAGGCACTGCCTTTATTTTGAAGTTATCTGGGTGGAGGACTAGGCCCATCTCAAAGTCTCTCGGGTCTGTTGACGGTAGCACACCGTCGGGCTGTAATGTAAACCTTTGAAGTAGCGACGATGTAAAGAGGAAAAGTCGGCTCTTTGCTAAAGCCTCACCAAGACATACTCTCCGGCCTGCACTAAAAGTAAGGAGCCTGTAACAGAGGGCAATAAGAAAAAATGAGTGGTTTATGAGTGCATTTTTGAATGTAATCTATGTTAAAGTAAAAGAGAAGTGAAATGTGTAAAGAAAACGATTTAGGGTGACTACGTGCAATTTTGAGCGTATGTATAAACGCACCTTTTTCGAGTAGCATGATCAGGTGGCAGTACGTGACCATTTTCGTCCAGGAAACGTGACGGGTCGAACGTCCACGGCCGCTCCCAATAACGTTCATCGTGGTGCAGGCCCCAGAGATTTATGTAGATCTGGGAGATAATTATCAGAAATTATTTTTCTAATGTCATTTACTCTATATTTGATTTGGTCAAATAAGACTACGCTGGACGTATTCCTTTTACATGAAAACGTAGTATTCTATCTTTACAATTCTATCCCCATGGTTTTGACCGAATAGAAGTCCAAACTTTTTTCACGAACCCTGTAGTCAAAACCTATTTCTCAGAGATAACTATTCTATATCGTTATGATAGACGCATGTGAAAGGATCCGTCGCTAAAGTTTTGAACGATCCACGAATATATATATATATACCTGAGTATCCTTTGGTATAGAGTACCCCATGACCTGGGTATCGACAGTGGTACAGTGCGGAATAGCCAGGGGAATGTGAGAGATGTATCTTAACAGTTCGAACAGCGTCGCACCCATGTACGGCATATTCTGCCGGTCACTGAGAGTGGGTCGGCGGTCTTTGCCAACCACTTGATCGATCTCGTCACGAAGCCGGTCCTGGACGTCCGGATGAGACGCCATTAGGAGGATGAAACAGATGATGGCAGTGAACGTTGTGTCGGTTCCTGTAGAGAACAATGCAAAGTTATTAAGATGGACTGACCTACCGATTAACTGCTCCCAACTCTTAACTCTTTTTTTCTTGGATTGGTGCGAAACGTCGATAGATAAATAAAATAAATAAATAAATAAAACATAATGCGGCAGTGCTGTGTTAGAACAGAAGAGCTTATAATTCCAAGCATCATGACTTCTTAATTGAAAACTTTTACGCCCCGTATAGTACAATAAGACCCAAAGTGTAAAGACTTGAATTTACAATCTACCTGCCAAAATCAAATTTGTAAAAGCTTCTCTAATGGACTCTTCGCCGATATGGCCCGCATGACCAGATAGATGGTGAGTATTCTTGTGAGCAAGGATAAGAGATTCCACCACACATTTCACATTCTCAGGATCAAAACTACCCTGCATAGTACAGAAAACATTAAAATTTTAAACATGCCATTCTTATTTACATCAAATGGTGAAAACGGATGGTTATCAACCACTTGCAATTAAATAAAATTTATGCGGATATTTTACGAGAAGATGCGATTTATTCAAAATTAAACTATACCTTGAGAGGTTCGACGTATCTAGCATGTAAGTCTTCCCTGATTTGTAGACCTTCTGATAACTGGTTGAAAGATTTTATTCCTGTATATCGTAACCATGGCAACAGATCTAACAAACGGCTCTGTCCAGCGCTAAAACCTTCGTTAAATAGCTCGTTGAGGCGCTTGATGTTGTAAATATCCCTGTGGCCATAAGGAAGACTTTTGCCTACAAGCTGATATGAGAAAATAATTGTAAAATTATGGTTTTAGAAACACATAAAAAACAAGAAGGAAGATGACTTGATAAAACAGTCACTTAAATCAAATCAAATTTGACACAAAACTTAGCTTAGGATGAAAAATGTATATCTCACTATTTCCTGAACCAATTCTGCGCTTAATCGAATTATTACTAATTTTGTATATTAAATTTAATGCACTAACCAAGACTAACATAATATTGGCAACTGTGGTATAGATCTCCATGTGAGGATCAAACGCAGCACCCCTCTTTGACTCAAATATATCTAGCAGTCTATTGATCTCGTGCATGGACTTCGCTTCGATTTCTCTCAGGCCCAGACCGTACGCCCTCAAAGACCTGTGGACTATCTTCCTGAGTGCCAGCCACCTCGGAGTGAAGGTCTGCCACACGATATCGTGTAGACTCCGTTCCTGAAGGTCAGTCCTGTACAGCTTGGGACGCCCGGCGAAATCGTTGGCTCTCAGGAGCAGGGCTTCCCTTATAGACTCTTCTCCAGATAAAACAATGATATTTTGTTTGAACAGTCGTATGGCATACACATCGCCGTATTCTCTTGCCCATTTTGCCAGAGTCAAGTGGGGCTTCTTCAGGTTTATCTGTAAGACGTTGCCTATCACAGGCCATGGGGTTGGCCCGCATAATACTTTTCCTCCCTCCCTTTTCACGCCGATGTATAAAAACAAAATCAATAGTACACCGCCTATGAATGAAAGCACAACAGTAGTAACATCCTTGTCAAGGTGACCTCTCGCTATGAGGCTTATTGCTTCCATTACTAGACAGCAAAATATGCTCTTTGTTTCAACTCAATTTATATTTTTGAAATAAACGATGCATCTTTCTTATTCTTAACCCCCTAACGCCCTCCCCTATACCTTTGACATGTCATGGAAACTCTGCGTTTCACCTATTAGCTTATATAACACATGCTGGAAATGTGTGATACACATGACTTCCGCCTCGGAGCAGTCTTGACTCTTGAATCAAAATAGCATTTTCCTGCCTTCTGTCAGAGATCCACACCCAAATGAGACATTTACCTGTGTTCAGTTAAACACTCACAGCGTCAGGTCACACACAGTGCCCTCATATACTACCCAGCCTAGGGAAAAGAAAAACGGCCAGCACGTGTATAAAGCTTGAACTGATCTATAAATAGTGCGACCTGCATCTCAAGGACATTTAAGGGCAGTTTGTCGGTTACTTTACCTGCCTTGAATGTGAGAAAATGTTAATGTATTCTCATATATCATAATTATTTGGAAGATGAGACACCAATGTAGTCGGAATGTTTGTTTTATATTTTCACCTAGGCTACCTCGTGGCATTATGGATTTGACGTAAACAAAAGAATTTTCCTTCGTGGTAAATAATTAAAACAATGGTATGTCATCGATTTTAATACTCTTTCAAGATTGAAAGAATGCATTTGCACCACAGCAAATATAATCTTTTTCACGTATTAATTATGATTTATCTTTCACATGTAGTGTCACCCAGTTTGATACCTGCTTCTTACAAAACAACGAAGTGACAGAACGGAAACAGTTCAGAAACGAGCATGTGAAATTATATGCCCTGATAGTCAGCATGATCAAGGACGTCAATATATTGAAGCATTCAAAGTTTCAAAAAGTGAAACACTTGCATGCAAAAGAGATGTGGTATCGAAATCATTATTTCATGGATAATCAGTCAACAGCAATAAACACGGTTGAAGTAAAATGACTTCTGATTGTTTTAATACATTCAAATGTCTCATCATGGAAGATAACATTTTACAAACAATCCTTTGCACAATACTAAAATATGCATACCAGTTATTGACAGAAAAGGAGATAAAGAAGTCAATACAGAACAAATAATAATACAAATAAAATAAGCTATTACGTCTTCTGTGCATAACATAAAGTTAATAGTTTCAGAAAAATATAATGTATTACTTTTGTTTCATCAGACAATGGCAAAAATGCATGTTAGAAAGAAATGATATGTACATCATTTCGATAAAGGTCAACTTGTAGTCAACATCTGCAGTGACCAACTGACAAATTTCGAGTAGAATCGTATGCTTGATTATAGAAATAAAATTAAAGTCTAATGCAATGCAAATATTTAACAGTCACTATTCAAATAGTATCGTTTAGTCATTTCTTCGGCTTCTTCTGGGGTATATATGGGAACGTACCCCAACACATTTTTTGCTTTATCGCTGTTGAAAAAGATCGTCTTGTTGACATAGATTAAGCTGCACAGTGGTGTTTTCAAGTTAATTTTCACGAAGGGTGAAACCAACCACAGCGCCCATTCAGTTACATATAACGCTGAATAGACTAGTGTGTACGGGAGGAAATAAGAGGATAGGCGGTATCCCTTGACAGACAGGTACGGCTTCATGAACGAAAAGGTGTTGATCAAGGGCGTGGCATCGGTTATAAAGAAGGCGTGTCCGCCAGCTCTACTGTCTTGACGTCTCATAGCTTCTTCTGCTTTCAGATGCGCCCAGGCGACATTCCCGACGTAAGCTTGCTGAAATAAAGCGTCGCCTCTCCCGACTCGTGTCAGAACACCACCGCGAGCTTTGGCATTTGCCAGCGCGTTTGTGACGTAATGAGGATCTCTCTCGCCGTACATGACATTTGGTCGCAATGCCACAGTCTGAAGGACAGACCCATCACCTGAAATAGACAAAGTAAAGAGCGGGTCTTTTGTTATTGCAAATCTACGTTCCAGATATAAAAGAAAAAACAATGATAATTATTATTAAAGAGGTACATGTAAATTAGCTAAAAACATGCATAAAATTTCAATTCTAACCTTTTGAAAGTGGGGTGGCGTTTGCTTGAAGGACGCACTTTTCTGCTTCAGATTTCGTCTGAGGGTACCCAGGAAAAAGAAACTTTCTGGGCTTCGTCGTTTTATCTTCGTCTCCGTTTATGATCTCCTCAAACCCAATCACCACATCCACAGTGCTAGTATAAACAAGACGGGGTACATTCTGCTTCAAGCAAGCCTCTATTACATTTTTAGTACCTAGTTTTTAAAAGTTGGAGAACAGTGTTTGTAAAAACTTTCTGAAGTTTCAAAATACAGTGTCAGAACAACAAGACATGCCAAGTCACAGATAAAACATTCAAATAAAGAAAACTAAAAATTATAAATAATATAGTTATGCGTGAAAACAGTCAGAATGCGCACAACTCTGTCAGTTGTCATTTCGTCGCACCCCATTCATCCCCAACCCTGTCGCAAGTGACCGCAGTGCGCGAGCGCGCGAAAGAGAGAGACAGAGAAAGAGAAGGGGAGAAGGAAATTTTCTTTTCCTATCTTTAACTTTCACTGCTAATTACCAGGGTTACTTTAGGGTATATCTGAAAATTATACTTAGTGTGTATACCTTTGACATTAATCTGTTGCATGCCCTCTAAATCGGGAAATGTTCCGTAACTTATCAACCCCGCTGTATGGATTACAGTATCGACGCCATCGAACGCCTTGAGAAGATCATGCAGAGAGCGCACGTCACCGACAAAGCTCTTAATAGGCTTGCTTTCTGGGTGGTCTAGAATACAAAATGATGTTACAGCTCACAAAATGTGCGTATATTTGATGTATTGGTCTTCACGCATAAAATCTTTTTTGTGATCAATAATAAGAGAATACTACAGGCACTTCTACAAGCACATGCTGTACTTTGAGTCGATGCTTAAAGCAATATGTACAGTTAAAAGTAAATAACACAAATGTTTCCCTTTACTGAGTAAATTTTCATGAAAATACATTACCTAACTGATTTAAGTATGGCTTGATATCAAAAACCCTTATTTCTTTGACATCAGGTCTTCGTTCTTGGATGAGTTTGACAATGTGTTGCCCAAGAAACCCTGCCCCTCCTGTTATAAGTATCACGCTCTGAGGCTCGACCACACTGTTTATTTCTCGCATATTGAGTGTTTGTTCACTGTCCTTGTTCTTTAGAACCACACCAGCCGCTGATAATCTATTCAATTTAAAAGATCGTGTACTATTTTTTAAAAGTAAATTTGACTTTGCTTTCTTTTTTCGACCTTTTGGCGTTTAAAAAATATTATAATATCTGACCCTTTTTCATTTTTTTCGGTATGTTCCATATTGTAAGATTAGAAAGTAAGATCAGATGAAAAATCCTAGTTAAATTTAAGAAAACATAAGGGGAATCCCTTTCAAGGAATATGAAATAAACAAATTAAGATAGGATTTTAAAAAAAATAATAAAAAGTAAGTAGTTATACTGTAGTATGTGAAAGACTCACCTGTAAAACCCGGCAAAGAGTGTCGAGAGCTTGGAAAACATCACAAACTCGGAACTGTTAGGACTTGGAAAGATCTGCGATGACATTTTCACTCGTTGCGTCTGCAACTTCGATCCTCTTCATTGTCACTCCCAGGTATCCAATAAGACGTAAAGAGGATTGTCTAGTGACGTCTAAGCGGCAGATGGCGGGATTAATAATGGAGCAGCTCTTCAAAGACAGAAAAAGCTTAGGCCTACCCAGTGTGAATTTGTGGATATAGTTGGGCGACTAATCTGAATAATATAGGTTTTATGTAAAAAGTGACCCTGGGCACAGTTCACATTCATCTCAATATCTGAATTATGTAAATGAGAAGTAAAAAGTTGATAACGAATAATAAGCGAAATAAAATAATATGAAGTCATAATGAAGATGAATTGGATAACTAAATTGATCAAAGCTCTAAATAAACCAAGAGAATGTAAAAAATATATATATTGAAACGAATAATGTCTGTACGAAACTTTCCTGTGCCTTGTCCATGTGCATGTATGTGGTACAACTTTTTGGAATATGATAAATGATCAATGTACCAAGAAAATAAAGATAAGCCACGACCACACAACGCCATTCCCATTCCCGTTCTTTGAGTGAAAAAGAAAAGATACTTTGGAGAGCAAATATCTTCGACTTCTATGCTACCTTTTTTACTGTCAAAGATTATGAAAATTGTGGCCAATTCAATGAAAAAATGTTTCCGTGCTCGTGTTCACGACTCGTGTGTTGGAGAGAGAGAGAGAGAGAGAGAGAGAGAGAGAGAGAGAGGTGCGCTTATGACCGTCAGATGGCGTTTTTTATGTTTATTCTTTAATGTTTATTTTTCATCCTGAAACTCATTCATTAAGAGCTCTTTCAACTTATAGTTTATAGTAAAGTAATAATTTTCTTGTAGAAGTATTTGGGTAAGATGAAACTTTCTGGTTTGAAAATAAAACGTTTCATTCTGAAATACAGTGACCAGCCGGGCGAATGATCAGCTGTTTTTAACTAAGTTTTGCTCTCCATATAACAATTTCTATTTCTATGATGTACATGTAACATTTGATTTATACGGTATGTACGCTTTTTGGTTTCTAAATTCAGTTCGCTTTTTTAACAAGTGCATGTTTTAATTTTGTTCTGTTGTATGTTACCACCTTAACCATTTTAAAACATATACTTTCTGTTTCAACTTCAATGTTCAAACAACATTTGCTACAACTGGGACCCATTAACTCGAGTTAACACAAGTATATAATATCAACGTTATGAGTTTGAATGGCCCAAGACTTCAACTCGAACGTTCAAGTTTAACGCCACATTAAGCGTGTGGCTTGTCTTGTAAATGATAAGGTCATGTAGAGGTCATTTCCAGCATGGTTGCTTGCTTGCAGATGAGCTGATAATATAACATTTCTTACTGTGTCTCTGAAGTTGTATTATGAGCTCAAAAAATATCAAAACTCCAGTCCAGCTTTATATGCATTTATTGCGACAAGTGAGAAAGCTGCCAAAAGAAGCACAGCCTTATTACAAGAATTACGTGAGACAGGTATACTACTGGTAGTACATGTACTTGTAACCCCTCCCCCCCTCGACCTCCGTCTCTACTTTTAGTGCTTGCTACCAGTTTCCAAGTAGCATCTTTATTTAAGTTTTCATTCATTTATTTTATTTTATTTTTTTTTTTTTGTTGTTGTTGTGCTTGAGTTTTTATTATACTAATTTGGTTAATGCATTACCCTTCTCCACTTAAATGACCATTTACATATGCACTCTTAAAATACATGAAAATCCTAATATCCCGAGTAATACAGTATCATGCTTGTTGTATTGATGAGCCATGCAACATCTGTACGGGAATATTCTCAAAATACTCTGTTTTCTTCTCCAGGGGTTTAACAGTCACTCTGATGAAGATGATCCAGAACGCATCCAAATGATCATAGAAAGGTCAGTTAAGGATGCAGAATGGATTGTAAACAAGGTGAGGTTTGGGTCTTAAGGGGGCATACAGGGTTTATGAGATTTTGGTATGAAAAGTATAGTTAAGGGCCTTGTCCGGTGTCTTTAATAACTTGCAAGTACCAACTGACCAATACACGTGGAGCAAATGACCCCGGTCTAGCCAAGGAGATGCCTTCTTGGTCTGGTGTAACTAAGTATTAAACCAACCATTCAGATTAATCAGTTGTTATCTTATTGCATCACGTAGATTGGGTCGAATAAACTCTATTAAGTTCCAGACTTAAAAATACCTTACTGTATAAATATATACATATTGCATATGTTTTAAAGATCACATTCTTCATTTTGCTTAAGTTGGTTGAAGACAGACATCTACATGCATTCTTATAAAGCCTTGCTCTCAGTCTTCAGGTAAAATTGTAAATTTGAACAGGGGATTCCATTTCAATATTCAGGGGCATCAATATTGAATATATAGGATGTTAAAAAGTACTGCACTTGATGTGTGGTCCTCTTTATGAAGGCCACGAAAAAAATTAAAATGGACTTACACCCCATTTCCATAGATTAGATCGACCTACTTTAGATCGACCTAACTCCCTGGGGGTTCACGCTAAATAGCTGTCAGCCGGGCGGACACGAAAGTTAATTACCTCCTTACAGCTTGTAGTAGGCGGGACGGACATTTAAGTCGGATTATCTAAAAGTAATCTAGTGAGACTCCCCACGGGGATAGATCGATCTAAAATCTATGGGAATAGAGCCTTATATTGCAGTGTTGGTTATGATATGTAGTGATGTTATCAAATGTCCATTGCCATTATACAGTGAATGGTTATCCTAGTTGGTGTCTGGTGAAAGAAAATTACTGTCTGTGTTGGCCAATATTTAAAAACTAGGGTTATGATCTTTTATGAATAAACAGCATGGAGAAAATATATTTATATACCTTCCTCCCTTGAACAGTTCCAGTATCCAGTTTTGTATTGCCGATTTTGAGCACATAACACAGTTATATCATGTGACTTCTTTGTTATCTTTCTTATCTTATTTTTAGTACACCAAAAATGAAACATGACATGAATTATGGAAAAGCCAGTGGAAGTGCCAACAGCTTTGAAGAAGCCAAATGAGCTATATGTGGAAGAGGAACATCGCTACATATGAAGCTGTAAAATGTCTTTAGTGATTTTGTACAGAAAAAAAGAGTATGGAAGTAATATCACATGCTCTGTGGAGTGGTGTGGCAGGAGAAGTCAAATATCTTAATATATTATCTTTAATTTATTAATATAATATATCTTAATATATTATTTTTAATGTAGTCTTAATGAACACATTTTTGCACTCTTGTAACACTGCAATAATGAGAGTTGTCAATTTATCAAAGTTTAAACCCTGTTTCTGTCTGTTGCTCTTTACATTGTTTCAGTCAGCTGGCCTTCCCAGCTGACACTAAACACTGGCATGAGTGTCGAGAAATATATTAAAATTCCCAAACGGACATCAGTGAATAAACCTAGAAGAAAATGAACGTTACTGTAAAAAATAGATTTTTGGCTATGTTTTGGTTATTATTGTTTGTTTAATTTGCTACAAAATTTAACAAGTTTTCAAAATTTTCTCCTGTACATCATCTTAATTTGGTTGGCAAAACTTGTACCAATTAGTCAAATCAGATAAGTCAATTTACATTTAATAGCTCACATACATGTATTAAGTGCTTAGAATGTCAATTATTGAATGATCCTTAATAGCTCTTAATCCCTGAATATTACCTTATGTCACTATTGTAGTTATGTGACTGTTTGGCCATAGCCTTTGTAAAATACGTTATAACTTATAAATTTTTTATCGTTATTTTCATCAAGCACATTTGCAACAAACCAGAGAAAATTATTGATTGTGGTAGTTGAGACAGATTATCGCTATCGCAATAATATTCATCGTACTCCATCTCTGAGAAAAGATAAGATAATAAGCTAATAAGATATGTTGATAGACAGAAAAGAAGGCGAGGTTGCGCTTATTGGTATAGAACATACACCAAAGCCTTTCTTATTTATTTCCAATACGAAGTTGTTCAAAGTAAGATTAAGGACTGGAGTCGGTAAGGTGCGTTGCTAAGGCGATCATGTTTAGGCGATCAAGCGGATTGCATGTGTAAATCTTAGCTTAATAGGAATACGACACTCTGTTAGTGTTCTGGTGTGTATGCTCAATACACATTTCTTTTTAGCAAATTTCCGCTGGAGTATGAAATAAACCAGTTGTTATCACGTCTGTCAGTTGACACAGATCAGGCACAGGCGACCCAATGGGTTATTTTTGACAAATCTTCAATCAGTAAATACGTGACCGATAAGTGGGGTGCACCAGACTGCGGTTACTTTGCGAACTTTCCCATGCATTTCTTTTATAAGCATAAGGATTAAATTTAGGCATGAAAAAAGACAGAGTTTTGCGATTCATACCATTATTTAACTTAAGTGTGATTTGTACACGTTTCTTAATACGTCTGAAATTTCAGTGATGTCTAATTCTTAAAAGCTTTGAAATTTCATTATGTGTAAAAATGTGAGATGACGAGTTGTACGAAAGTTTGTAATAGCGATGGATGGTAATAAATTTTAGTCTGGACAACCGAAATATAAAAATTGACCTTGAAAACTCGATTCTATGCATTGTTTTAAATGAATAAATTAAGTGAGGCTGACATTAGACAGTAAGAAAAAGAATCGACCCGGCGGTCAAAATCCAATTTATGCTTATTTTCCTCCAGTAATTCGTCCCCTGCACCGCAAATTTTATTCTTTTTTATATTTTCCCCGGTAGAACACGTTTTTATCCAAACCCATTCCTTTAAATCTTGTCATATTTTGTTCTGTTATCTGCAGTATTCAAGGCATGAAGTCGAATAAATTTTTTTCATAACACAGCCTTCTCATAGTCTAATCTACAAACTTCATGTTTGCTTATAACTTTGTTTATCCACGTTATCAACAAACGCTCCTTCTGCGAACAAACATAGAGGCCTATTAAACTGGTGTGTATGCATGACACAGAACCCTTCATTTTTGATGCACCACTCGGCTGTCATGTCAGGTGAGCCTCTCTTTGTTGGCGTATGTCACAGAAATCTGTTGCGGTGTGAAATATTTGCCCATCTTAAGTAGCATAGCATACCCGCGTACTGGTTACCAGCAGAGAGAAGTTGGTTTAAGCCAGCATTAGAAAGTCTATTGATACGTTAAGCTCTAATGGAAAGTTTGTTTTCTTGACAAATACCAGTCAGTTGAACAAGATTAGAAGTCATACCTGTATTGGACAATTTATATACCGACATCGGGCTGGTGAAGGGAATAATAGACAGGCGACCCTTCACTTAGAATTAATATTGCGCGTGTATCATGTGCCCTTACACAATAGCTCTCCACTGAAATCACGTTTGCTCGAAGCAGTTAAATACAGAAAGCAGATAAAACAGCGGTAATGGACCACTTGCACTACAAAAATAACAAACACCTAAAGATGTCTCGTAATCAATGAAAAATGAATTCATTTCAATCGACCCATGTTGAATGTATTAACAATAGCTTCGTGTGTCAAGAAATTACACTTTAAACTCGCTCTGTTAGTCCTAGACACAGAAAACACTGATTCACAGCGTTCTCCACAGACGCCTTAGTGACAGGAAACGTGTGGTTTATGTTGTCTATCATAAAAATTATTAATCTGAATGGTACTTTTGGTAATTCCGATCCAGTTAAGTTTTACAGAGAAGAAAGGTCTACACGAAACAAATTTAAAACAGGCGTGAGTATAAATCATCCAATATTTATTTTGGAAGACAATTCTGCATAAGAGGTATATTGTATCGAAAGTTTTTAAGCTATGTAAGCCACAACAAGCTTATTATTTTTAATTTTGAAACTTGTATTAATTTCACCTCTTATCCGAATGACAATAACTTCCCTTTTTGATGTAATTATTGTTTTTTCGTAAATTGGAGTCTAAACTTGACTGTTCTAATATCGATATTTAGGGTTATGAATTGCACCGGCACGAAAAACCAGTGCCCTCAACATTTAAGAAATCACGCTGCACACGTACGGAGTGTCTCATAACGCATTTTTCTTTGAATCATGAAAACGTGACGATGGCGGTCACTCCTGACGGGTATAATTTATAATATTTTTTTACCGCCCGTACTCAAATTTCACACATGGAATACCGTAACAAACCACAAATTATCATGTACGACTAATTGTACTTTTTTTTCACCAAATCATTTTCTATAAATAATTTTGTATATCCAAGCATCATCTTGAAATTCAATCAGACACTTGGAGCAAATGACCCCGGTCTAGTCAAGGAGATGCCTTCTTGGTCTGGTGTAACTAAGTATTAAACCAACCATTCAGATTAATCAGCTGTTATCTCATTGCATCACGTAGATTGGGTCGAATAAACTCTATCTTGTACAGCGTTGCTATGCAAACCCTTGACGTCTTTGTTCACCTGTAATACAAATTGAAATCGATCTCTAAAACTAATTCAACTTTTCTCCGGGGTTAATGAGTTTTCATCATGGTTATAATCAAAAGCTGCGATATGCTGACTCCACGCATACATGTCTTTCTAAACTACCCCTGATAAGGAGAAGTATTAATGTTATCAATTCGAGACAAATCCCTCATCACCGAAACCTAGTTAATTAAAGCCCCTCTACAGCCTTCTGTCACATACTACGAAACCTTTTAATCCAAGGCACACGCGCCGAAATACAGTATCATTTACAACAACACGCTCGGATCAGGTGAGTTCATGAGAAATGCAGTGTAATAGCATTGAGCAGATTTCAAACCACTTTGAAATTTAACGAGGCAATGAACCAGGATGAAATATTTCGTTCAAGAATCAAACAAGATAGCAAGTGAACTCAACCCTTTTTTTACGCCTATCAGTTTTATCTACCTCTCAAGGGCAATCAAAAGTGACATACATGTAACATTGAAAAGCTTCACTGCTACCAGTAGGCCTACTTCAGCGAGGAGACAAAATATCTGTTTGGTAAAGCAGAATGATGTGAAGTTCTAATTGTTTTTTTTACTTATAAATTAACTTTTCAACCAATACTGAATACTTATGGAACAAACGTGGACACTCCGGTAAAGGCACTCATATTTGGGATTTTTTCGTTAAGATTTTGAATGAATAAACAGGTAACTCGCAAAACTTTTTGACACGCCTTTGATCTTGAAATTCGTGATATCATTTACGCCAACTCACTAATAAGTAACTGTCATGCGCATGATGTCAAGTTGACGCATTTAATTTGTAGTGGCTTCTTGTAAAATATCATTTGGTCAAACTTGGATATTGATTTTTGTCCAGTGTTTCATTTATCGTCTCAAAACCTTATGACAATTTCAGACGTAAATATTGAAAAATAACTGACGAATCTTTTCAATATTTTGACAAAGAATTAAAAAAATAATTGAGAAATAAATTGAGTTTATTTATTTCTTTATATTCTTCTTTTATGCTGGACCTCAGAGTGTGCTTTATGTCAGGTTTGACTGTACCTTTTTGTATTGAATAAATGACACCCATTGATGCAAGCCAGGAACATAAAAAGTGTTGCAATATTTGGCCTAAAAACCAGAACACAACTGAAATAAAATGCCGTACCAAACATCGTCATGCAAGAACAGTCTTCTATATTCGAATAATAAAAAAAAAAACTACCTTAAGAAATACTCACTTTGTGTCCTATAATTAAAGGCACAGGGAAGGGTTATTTCGGCATGTTTACCGTCGTAACAAGGAGTTATTACATATATGTATAGGCCCTACAACATAACTGTGCCGAATGCGTATTTCTTCTCAAAATACAAAGATCTTATAATTAATAACAGGTGGGTGGATTTCATACTTTGACATTTACATTTCGTTGTGTCCACATTCATAATAGCAATTTTTCTCTTTTTACAGTTACCAGCCCGTGATATAGACATACTCAGAGCAACCGCTTTTTACAGAGAGCTTTTCATCTTCTGGGAATAACTCCGAATGGACGACACATCAAAGAAAACCAGATACTTTCAATTTATTCAGAAAAGTTATGGAAAACAGAATAATCCCTCAACAATCATTATGTGAGGGTTTGTTTAAGGCAGCTCTCTTGGGCCATTATCGTACTGTGGAAACACACTTCTAGACGATGAATAAACTAGTAAATCTTATGTATACATACAGTAACCTAGACGCGTAGCGGCTTCATGATGACATCAATCGACTACACTGACGACGGCGAGAGCAGAAGCCTAGCGCAGAAAGCTGGAGCGGGCCGAGGCTCTCGGCCGCGAAGACGGAGGAAAAAAATACCGTCCATCATGAAGATTTCTTTCAACTATTACAAAGAGCGGATGCTTTTGGAGGTGCCTTATGGGTTAACAGTAGCAGAAGTAAAGAAACTAATCAGAGAAAAGTTTAGAATAGGGTCTGATGACGGTAGACCCGATAAAAAAATTCTTACTTTGAACTACGGCGGGGCTGACCTAGGGGATAGTTGGGTGTTTTCTGATGTCGGCGTACAGCAGGGGAGTACTGTCAAAGTCCTAATGAGGGAAGAGATCAAACCAGTGCTGTACGTTTACTGTCTCTACAGCCAAGACAACGTTAAGATCGTCGACCAGATTCAGGTATCTTTGTTGTCAGTGGCAGAGTTACGAGGAATTGCGTCCAGGAAGACGGGAATGCCTGTGGGCGCCTTCAGGCTCGTCACGGTGATGGGCAGGGAAATGTACGACGGGCATCTCTTGGATGAGTACGGCGTGGAGGTGGGACACACCGTGCGCTTGGAGACATGGGACGGATGGAACGATTTTCTCAATCTTGCCATTAACGGGTTTACGTCTCATGTCATGGCGCGACTCTCCACCGAAGACTTAACCGCTCTGTACCAGATGAGGGTAGCGATGTACATAGCAGCGCACTACGGGCACGTTGACCTGTGTGTCACCCTCCAGCGTCAAGGAGTGCGGCCTGACGAACCGGTGGGGAACCATCCGTACCGCCAGTGGTGCCACAGTTCGTCTCACGTCGACGCTTTGAAGACGGCGGTCCACGAGGCGGCAGAAATCGGACAACTGGGCATTTTACGCACCTTCGCTCACAGCAACATCTGCGTTATCACGGCAAAGGATGGACTGGGACGAAAACCGCTCAATGTGGCTATACAAGCCAAACAGGAACAGTGCGTGAAATTTCTGCTCTCAAAGCAGTACAGCAGGGTCGTATACGCCCAGTCTAAAACAATCCCTGCCTCTATTTATGTGAGCATGAAAAACTGGAGTGACAGGGCTAAAAAGAAAGTTTTGTTTCTATATGGCTGGGAGAAATCTTCGTTTAAGCGGAGGCCGTATTGTTATGGTGCTCTCGTCGGGCAAGGAATTCATATCGATGGTTTCACAAAAAGCGCAGTGACAGGTAACCCTGCCCCGCCTCCACAAAAACAATCCAAAGCACTGCCAGCCCTCCAAATCGACGAAGGAAATCGCGAAAATTTTGACTATGAAAGTTACTTCAGACAACAAGCGAAACTACAGTTCAAACTACCCCGTCTGACCAAATGGGATCGCATGAGTCGCCAGACAAGCAACCAGGCCTCGGAGCTACCCGAGATCTCCAACAGTTCAAAATTTAACCGAAAGAAATCTTTACCTCGAAAGCGCAGTGACAGCGAGACCACTACGGACATGTTACGTTTACCCCCAATACGAGAAGGAAAAATGCTGGGCAGCCGCTCGCTCCAAAATTTACCGTCAACCACACAACGCGATACTGAATACGCGGACTCGGAAGCTTCGGACGAACTTCTAGACTCTTTTGATAGTGAAAACGTCGAAAGCAAGGACGGTAAAGCAGACAGGGGTGTGTTCGTTACGGCATACAAAGCAATGGAAGCTTATAATGAACTACAGTCAGAGCAAGATATTGCAAAATCTGACTTGAAGAAAAAGATAACTAACCAAAAGAAAAAGAAACAAGAAAGAGCACTACGTTCAGCTGTTCTTTTAGCAAAAGCCAAGTCTGTGGAAGGATCGCTCCCTCTACCTCTATTCAGCGTAGAGACTTGTCCTAAACCACATTTCTATGGACGCAACAAAAGTGACGGCGCTCTTGTTCCTCGAACTCTTGCCACATATGAGAAATACAGAGGCCAAAAAGCCAGAGATTATGCCATTACGTGCCTGTCGCTTGCTAACAATTTCAAGGAAAAGCCATGGCTTCAACAAGTACGCTTAGCAATGAATTTTACGGCTCAAAAAGTTAAGCGGACTTCCAAGCTAAGAACAGGGGTATTTCCTTAAAGTCGGAAGACTTGATAGTCGGATTGCGGTAGCAGAACTCAAACCGCACGCGCCAAAGGATAACTTTTTATATACTTGCCCTCTCTCTCTCTCTCTCTCTCTCTCTCTATATATATATATATATATATATATATCCTCTGAACAAGGAGGTACGTCTAAGAAAAGCCATAATAGTAATACCTAATACTAATATCTATTGCTATTTAACATTGAACACATGCCATCACAGTGAATTATATATTTTTGTATCTATTGCAATTCCACATTAAACCAAGCTGCATGTATGACAATAATGATAACAATAAAAACACGAAAGAAAATTTTTTAGTTAGATCTATTTGTTTTTATTTTAAAATGTTGTAGACCTAGAGAAGAATCGGTAGAGCAGAGCCCGCATATCGATGTTTAACAAATACCTATGTAATATTGTACAAGTCACAAAGGCCTTTACGCTATAATAAATATATACTTACTTTATTTCCGTAATAATATAAAACATACATGACGAAGGACGTTCCCGTGATCACTTATATACATGTACATTTTTTTGAAACTTTTTTGAAATTTTGAAATGTATTAGCACTGTGACGTGTATAACAATTAACCGCAAATGCTATCTGACGTCACTGCGCCAAGTGTTACTCTTGACGTCATAGAGTTTCCAACACAAAATAATGATATCACCAAGTAACTAATAACATTTCTGGTGCAAGTATGTACTGCGACCACTGGCATTGGTAGTTTTTTTATTGTGCTATGAGACCACGCCAGCTAAAGTCCAAGCGGAAATCGAAAAAAAGGAGGTTCTTGGAAGCCTGTTTTTGTATTGCTGGCACAATATCTGATGAAGAGGACGCTTTTATTGAAATTTCGTCTGTTTCTTCTTCTTTTAAAAATCTAACATCGCTGGCGATAGAAAATTGCGATGTAAAGCAGAATACAACATATGGATTTGAAGAAAAAACGGACAAGCTCACCGAATGCGAAATCTCGAAAGACACTGGTTTCAAAAGCTGTATCGATGACACAGTCGCTGAAATGGGGTCCGCTGATATTTGTGTTCAAACCAACATTAATGATAGCGGGGGCAAAGAAAGAATGCAAATAAAACGCCAAACACATATCTTTCCCGAAACCTTTAGAATCGCAACATCAACAAAATCTGGGAAATCAAACCTGGGACTTCATAGAAATATAGAGAATGAGCCATCAACCGAGATGTTGACGATGGCTTGCTGCAACAGAGATAAGAATGCAATGAAACCGTCCTATACACTAGATCACATACTTGGCCCAGAATATCGGGAACGGCACGTATACGACATTAATGACGCTCTGGACAAAATGTTGACTACATCTAGAAGGGATCACACAGATGCATTTCGCAGTACCTTTGGACCTATACAGGATCCCACAATGGAGTGGCAAACTTTAGCACGTCTGGACGAACGAATTTTGCTTTCCGGACAAGCTGCAGCCCATTCGTCTGCTTTTGCTACCCATCAGAATTCAGCACCAAATTCTCCAAATCCGTTCATTGGACCGTGTGTGCAATCCATCCTCCGCGCGCCACGCCCACCCCCCAAACCCAGAAACAGAGAAGTAGAAATGGCCGTTTATGACATTTTGACCGCTAGGTTTCAAATAGTGTAATTGTAACAATCATGTGTGAACTTAAAACAGGCTGCTTTTCATTTTTCTAGCATTTATTATTTTAACATGTCTGATGTAACTTGTTACGTGAAATATATTTTAATACAAAACTGCATAACAAAGTTAAAATATTTTTCAGACATGAAAAAAAAAACGTCTCTCAAAAACCCAAAGTTTCTTTTTTAAATGTATATGTACAAACAAAACGTATTTCCTTCGTTAACATATCCAAGTGACTGCCACATTTGATAACACTATACTGATGTTCATACAAGAATGAGAACTGGACTGGTCCTTGAAATAGTAAATTATGGATTAAATATGGTTGGATAGACCAATTGCACAGTTATAAAGGCATAAATATGATGTTGCATTTTCAACACCTTCAGCCCATCTTCGAATTTCATGTCTGGTAACTAAACTATCTAGCAGCCGCTGATGTCTTTAGTTTTCTTCCTCATGAACCTGGTCTCTCCAGGGTCAAATCCCCGTTCGTCCGCCCCAAACACTGCCCAGTGTGGGGTTTGTGCCATATAGTCTGCTGCTGAGAAAGTTTTCTGGCCTTCACTGGCTTTGTACATTTGCACTAACTCATGGAACCTGTCATAGTCTATCCACGTCCACCAGTCTCCATTGACCTGAAACTGTAGGAACAGATATATCCTATAAAATTTATTTATGACTTTTTCTAGTTTACTTTATATCATGCCTGACAATAACTGTACAATAGTTAACAATAGCTTTTCCCAGCCCAATTTATTTCTCCCTTGACTTCAGTTGTTTTTAGTCAAGTTTGGGTGACCCATCTAAGAACTACTTATCTCAGCTTGCAGTCTGATTACGAACAGCTTCGAAAAGGCAGCAAACCAAATCTTTTTGTTGCCCCACCTAATGCCAGTGTTTCTGAGGTAAGTTAAATACCTTTAAGATTGTTCTAAGGTGAGCTAATCATAATCATATGCTGTGATTTGTTTTAGAACAGAGTGAGGTCCATTCACTTCAAACTATTAACTTCTTCAACAGCTTCATTTTTAAATTTCTCACAAATTCTATCAATAATAAGAACCATGCACCCTTTTTAAAAACACATCCTTACAGCATATCGAGAAATAAACTTCAGACCAACCTTTTTATTAGCAACTAGGACACAATTAGAGTGTTCATGTTCAGACGCTATGGCATAATCAGGCAGTCTGTCCACCACGTCCTGGACAAATTTGATGACCTCCTCATGCCACGGAACATTGTCCATGGTCAGACGACTGGCCTTGGATTCTCCACAGTAGGTTACCCCCTAAAATGCAGGAAAATGACTGGTAAACTATATAACAAAAGTTGATGACAAAGCAATTTTAACTGGTTACATAACAATTACTACTTTCAGCATTTCATTTGCAAAACAGATATAAAACAAAATCTTATTTTACAAATGACATCTCTTGCATACCTTAATTTCTATGAAGTCAGGCTTTCCAATAGATACCAGACTTGCATAATTTTCTATGTCCTCTGTATTGTAGTTCTTCACCAGTGTTAGTCTGTACACTGTCCTCTGACCCTAAATGAACAATACCATGGCATCGGACAGTTTTTTCTTGATAAGATGGACATAAAATCTCTTGTAGGGAAAAATCTAAATTCATGTCATGGGTTAATTTTTTAACAAGGAGAAATAAATCAAATACTCCCAAAATACATAAGTTTCATTTGAATAAGATGAACATTCTTGATGACAGAGAGCTAAATGTGCGCTAACTTTTTCTGAGAGTGCCTTCAAGCTGTCCAAAAATCTTTCCCAGTAGTCTCGGAACAGTGGTCTGTCTATCTTCTTCAGGCTTTCTTTTGTGCTGGCATCTACACTGACATATAGCTGAGTGACAGGGGTCAGATTTCTAAAACAGACATATACATATACTTATAATGAAACTGAGGGTGTAATTAAAATCGAAATCCATCAAGAAGTGGGTGATTTTTAAAAATGTAGAATCTAGATATTGCATATACTACATTTAATGAAACTTTGGCATTTGGTTTGGATTGTGCTTGCCTCTTGCAATGTAAATGTGGGTGATTAGTAAAAAAAAAAAAATTAATCCTTATACCTGAAGACAGTTGGACCGAGGAGGTATATACACCTCCTTGGTTGGACAGATAATGTGCTATTAAAAAAGCTGCAGTTGCAAGTGAGAAATATAGGAGTTACATACCTAATAGCATCTGGAAATTGAGCATTTGTAACCAAGAAGCTTGAGATCCCTTTGCTATGAAGCATTTCAGCAAACTTATTGATCTCTGGGTACATGATTGGTTCCCCAACAAGTGACAAGGCACAGTGCTTTGGAGTCAGCCCCTCAGTAAACCTGTCTGACTTCACTCCTGGAACACCTAGCAAAACATTTACATAAAAAAAAAATCAATTATCATGTGAAGTTGTATGTCCTACATACATGAGGCTTTGCATACCCCTTCAACTTGAAAGAAAGAAAGAAAGAAAGAAAGAAAGAAAGAAATAACACTGTAGCAGAATATTTTACATATTTCAAGTATCAAGGATCATCAATGTCACTAAAGATAGCTAAAATAAAATTGTTAACCATCATGATATCCTACACATGTGCCTTTTTGAGAGTGAACCACTTGTATGTAATATTAAAAATACTAGTCTTAGTTCTAAACCCACTCACCTTTAAACTGTTTAATCATATTACAATGGTTTTGTAGTGCTCCTTCAAGAATAAGTTCTGGATCATCCATCTTCCAACGCCACTCTGTGCCTACAGGGTTGGTGTGATGTCTTCAGAAAGAGAAGGTGTTCAATGCAGTGTTTCCCCTGGCTTTCAAGCTCTGCGAGGTGGTAGGCAGTCCGCGATCCCAGCAATACTAGGGGGGTCCGGGGGCATGCCCCCCCGGAAAATTTTTTAAATCGAGGTGCAATTTGGTGCATTTTAGGGTATTTAGAACTGATTTTTTTTACATTTTATGTGGCACTGAATTGTCTTGTTTTAGATGTTTTGAGGAGTAAATTCAGTAATGATATAACAAAGGTTTGGACAAAATTTATTTTCCAGTCTGTGCATTCACTCAGTTTAGTCCTTTTCAGTTTATAGAACATACTCTTTCAAAAAAAAAAAAAGTTAAGACTTTCAAAAAAAAAAAAAAATAATAATAATAATAAAATTAACTACTTTAATACTTACAAGAAACAAGAAAAAGGGCTTACTACATTGAATCATTTTTAAATTGACCAAAAAGTTGATAAAATATGTTGTTTTTACCGTTTTCAAATTCTTGTGAAAGTAACTGGTCAAT